GCGCAGCGTCCAGGGGTTGACGTCTACGGCTCTTGCAACAGCCTCGTAGAGGTCTAACAGGCTGTTGCTGGATTCAATGGAGACTGGATGCACGTCCCCATTGATCGTCTGAAGCTTGAGGTCTATACGGTATCCTTTGGTCGGCTGTGATGACGTGCCGCGCTTCGAGCTGAAAAGCTGGCCCATGCCTATTGCAGATTGCAGTTAAGCTTGAGCCAAAATGGCTTGAGCCATAAAGCATGAATTATGTGAAGAAGCTTCAAGGTCTCAAGCATGATTTGCGGCCCAGCTGGGCCTGGGACTGGGCGTGCCTGCGAAACCCTAGAAAACAGAAGGCCTGGGGTCCGGTCTTGTTGTAGCGAGCACCGATCCCGGTGACCAGCGTGCCGTTTAGCAGCTCCTCGCAAGGTGATTGCAGGGTTTGCCTGCAGGGCAGATTGAACTTTATCCGTGCAACCAACATGTCTCCAAGCGCTGGACTTCGAGAAAGCCTGGAAACGCAGTTCAATCGCCTCAACCCCCATACAAGCCCAACAGCAGCTCCGTGTTGTCTGGCGGATCGCATGGGCCACAAAGCGGCGAAAAGGACTGGTACAGCACCTTTGCACCGCAAGGTGCGGGGGGTGCAAATTTGGCGAACTAGGATTCGGATTCCTATTCTCTGCGGTAGCCGACACCATGCAGGGCTCAGAGCCACGTTTGAAAGCTCGAACTTCATCATAAGGTACCAGAAGTACAACAACGAGTTAGATCCACAGGCGGAAGGTTCCTTAGAGAGACGGCCTGAAAATGCAATCAATACAAGGCAATGCCTGTTTAAGCACCGGACCGTCAGCACATGACCATGTACTTGTTACTTATAGAGGTGAGCAAGCATGTATACGTGAATACACGTGGCGCGTTTGTTTGCACATAAATAAATAAATATCTAAATATAAATATAAACATATACATACATATATATATGTGTGTGTGTGTGTGCATGTAATAAATAACTACTCCGGTGCCAACACATAGATGCTTGCAGGTAGGGTCCGGGTTTGCCTTGTAATTTCAGAGTGCCAGCTGTCAGGAAACGGTTTGAAGTTTCGACAGCTACGCAAGCACAGTAGTGTGCACAAAACAGGTTCCCGTTTCAGGTGTCGCTGCTGTATGATGCATACGCTGATGTACAAAGGTACACATTTACAGTTACCTATACATGCATATCTATGATACTATCTGTTGTAAAACAGTGTAAGCAATATATATATATATATGTATAGTTATATGTGTGTATATATATATACACACCTATGATATAAGTATATCCGCATATGTTTTCCCAAAGAAGGACAAGAGGGAGTGTTTGTGTGACTGAGTGAGCGCATGCGTGGGCACGAATCGAACTCAGGGTATCCTATCAACGCAGGGCCAGGGCAAAGCAAGGGCTGTTCGCCGTCTACGTGATGAGTGTCGCAGAGACTCATTGTCTCAGCGAAGACATGTTGCCGGTGCCAAAGATGACTTTGTCAAACAGCTTATGATTCTTCAGACATTCTTCAGTGCGTGGTTCGAACAACGAGCTGCTGATGCCTGGTTTCACTCCATGACTTGATCCCAAGCACCCAAGTACACACAACACCGAGCAACTCAGCAACTCTTGGACTCTTGGCCACAGCACACCCTTGGCCCTCATGTAGTCCCGGTCATCGGTGGAGGCAGTCGGGGCAGTTCCCATGCCCACATGGTATTGCACCTGGACCATCTTGGAACGCATCAACGGCATTGAACGAAAGCCCTCACGGTCTCCGAACCTCAGAGCTCTAAGCCTTGAAACCTGAAAAGCGGCCTGGTTCACGGCGACCGGGACGGTGGCCACCTCTGCGGCACAAGACGTCGGTCTATATGAGTCGAGTCTATGATGGGTTTGGAAGCCCGAAGTCAAGCAAAGCTCCAGTGTTTGTGCCTCAGCAATGCGGGATCAAGCATGGGGTGCTGATTGTCACTTTCGTCGTCTCCACTCCGTTGCCGGTCACGCTAAGAACGGTGTCTACGTGCAGCAAGATTTGCACCGGTTCTTTGGTAGCATACAGCTTGACACGATCACTGCTGTGCTCCGAAGGTTGCATGCTCCCGACATGCTGGTCGATCTTGTTCCAGCCTTTACACCTTGGGCAAAAGAAACTTCGTCATGAGCGGCTTCCACACCGAGAGTTGGAGCGCGGCCGAGTGTGGGTTGTTGCAGGGGTGTCCACTCTCACCTCTGCTTTCTTCTGCTTTGATGCTTTGCTGGGCGCAGTATCTAACTGCTTCGGGCGAGACCGTCGAAATCAGCGTCTATGCCGATGATCAAGTCTTTTGGTGCTGGGATCGGGGTCGTCCCAGAGCCCTTGTTGAGGTCAAAGGCAGATCGGATGCTTTCCATAGCGCCGCTGGGCTCAGTTGTCGCGCTTCCAATGCCGAGGACTGGCCGCCTCAAGCATGTTATCGACACCATCGCCAATGTTTCTTTCAAGTGGCCCGAAAGACGTCGGTTGATGAAGAGCCTGGTCCTTCCTGCCCTGTGCTGGGCCAGCGGCATAGCGAGCTTGGAGAGTTTTTTGTTCTTGCTGAGGATGCAAGATTGGCCTTCTCACATTAAGCTGGCTAATCCGCCGAGGCCACCGGCCCAGGCGTCTTGGGGGTTAGCTCAAGTACCCTCCACCGAATCCTCCTCCCTGCTTAGCAAGTGGTTGGAACCACCCGTTTGTGGCGTCCATTTTCCACCCCCGCCCGGCTTCGCCTGGTTTTACCTCACTTGTCGGCCTTTGTCTTCTGGACCCCCTCACTTTTTGCTGTTTTTTTTTGCGTTTTCCCCCTACCCCCCGCCACTACCCCTTCTGCCCTCCCCTGCCCTGCCCTCTCCTCTCAGGTAACAGGCAGGTAACATTTGAAGAGGCTGTTCGTGCAGTAAGTAGAAACTCCTGTCTTCCTCCCACNNTGCTGCGGACATGCACCAACGCTACCGAAGTGTGTCCCCTGCCCTCTGCCCCTCAGCAGACGAGCGTTAAAATTAAAGACATGCCCCGCTGTCTGCCTGTTTGTTTGAGTTCCTGAGATGGGATGCTGAGCCGATGTTCGCCACGGCTAGAGCCCATCTTCACGCTGCTTCCCGTCTGGCCGGCACTTTTAGGCAGCGGCGTGATTTGGTGCGGTTGGACTTCGATACCGCTCGATTGTGCTTTTGCCGCACACTGTGGTCACTTTGTCTTAGTTTCGTTGGTCCTTTTCTGCTGACGGCACCGAAATATCCAGAGCTGGTGTTATAGGATGCCGCCGCAGTTTCACTGTAGGCATCGATAGTACTAATATCCTCGATGGGTGGCTTCAGAAAGCGTGCCCTTTCCACCTGCAACAGGATCAAGAGATCGATGCGCCGGTCTGATGATCACAAGGTTGGCCCATCCCCAGCCCGAGACTGGTGTGGCATTGTTTAACAGACATCATGCTCTGTTCGAGCATTCTTGCAGGGACGTGAAACTCGGCATGCTTGCTATGCTACGGGCCTGAGCCACTAGCACTTCAACCCTCAGCTTCGCTCCGGTCCGTAGTACCCAGATGCACTTGTCTCTGCCGCGGGAAGCTGCCGTCAAGACCTCACCATGGCCTGGTGCTGCCCTAGCACTGCTAGCTATCGTGCGCATCTCCCGATGCCTTGTGATCGGGCGCAAGAACGATTCGAAATCAAGCTTCCCATGTCGACAGAGCCACAAAGCTGATCCATTCACCCGTTAATCCCTCCGACTATCACTTGGTCACACCTGATCTACTATCTGATGTGATTGTGTGCCATTTCTTGGCCAGGACGAGCCTTCAGGACATCATCTAGCTGCCGACGGCAGTAGTGGGAAACACCGATTGCCCGTGCCTGCCAGGTTGGGCTTCTGCTTCTCCGGGTAACCCGAACAGAATGAGTATCGCCTCATGGGGCCATATATCCCTAAGTCTCTACGCCATCATCATTCAGGAAGAGCACAACGAAACCCAATCCATGAGTCATGACTGCAGTAACAGTTACTAACATACTAACATCGGAGTCCTTGCCGGACTTGGCCCAGTTCTCCAAAGCCGTCCACTCGGTCTGACGCTCCTCCCGAGGTCTTAGGCCGGGGAATTCCACGAGTTCCAAAGTTGCGCTTGGTTTGGGGTTTCGGTTTTCTCTCGGCTTTGTAGATTTCGGGAGGTGAGGTTCAGAACGAGCTTCGTAGGGCCCGCCTGCAGCTGCTTGACAGCGTGGGTCTACCTCTGTCTGGGCTTTAAGCAAAAGACGAAATGCGGCATCATCTTCACTTCGTTGGGGCGAGAGCAAGTACAGTCTGCGAAGCTGGTTCGGCTCAATGGACAGCATTATTGGGTAGATCAACGCAGTGTTCTCTTCAAGAATCTTGTGCTCGCTCTGCTGCGGGATGCGGCGAGTATACAAAGTCAAGAAGTCGCGGCGCGCCGCCGTTCGCCAAGCTAAGCAACGACTCCAAAACGACTTTATTTCCCTCTCATCTTCAGCAGCCTCAATCGCAACATCCAGCGCCCCATGACGGGGAGCTGCCATTGAACGATCCAACTCCAAGGCGATCGCTCTGAAAGAAAAGGCTAGACGCTGCCCAAATGCAAGTAAAGCCTGCCGAGAAGATCGCAAGAGATCCTCTCACCAAAGCCCTGTTTAGAGACCCTTAGCTCGCACTTGACTGGCTATGGCGGCTATGTAGCAGAGATGCAAGACATCGCAAACCTCCGCAAAAACCCGGCATGCCCTTTATGGAGCAAACCCATGCTAAAGGGCTGCTGCAATGCACGTCCACTGCACGTCCAAACACTCGCCACCCCGAACCGGCTCCAACCTCTTTTTAAGTATTTTGCAGGACCTAAACAACCCGAAACACACATGAATCTCAAGCAACCTGAGTCTGTTGGATGTCCTGGCCTTAGCCGAGCCATTCTTCCCGAAGTCGGCCGGGAAGTGGATCAGCATGAGATCTACGAACTTCCTCACCCGCATTGCTGAAAGGAGTCAATGGAGTCAGCTTGAAGGTTCAAATCTCAGGGCTTGATGTGCGCCGCAAGGCTCAGAAGTGCAACAGAATGTAAGTTGCGAGATTCACAGCGATCGCGGCTCTCTCAGAAGCCCTTTCGACGCTCGAAAGTATAGAGAAACGAAACTCGGGGTGAGGGTGCACTGTAGGACATATGCTGCCTACCATTCAAGGTGCACTTGCTCGCTGCGTGCCGAAGCTGTTGACCTAAAACTCCAAAAGGTGCTGGAAATCCAAACATCTCGCATGCGAGCGGCGCCCTTGCAAAGTAAAGGATACGAAAGGCCCAACAGTGCACATGCGATTGATTTTGACAAAAATAAATGAAAATCCGAACCGGCGTTGGCCGAGGCACAGGCCCAGCTCCTCAAGGCAGGCATCGGCTGCTGCAGCTGTGGCAGAGGCATTGAGGCCTCCTGCTCAAACCGTTGACCCTTCCCAGCATGGGCAGGTGTACAAACACATGCAAGCAGTACATGCATATACATGTGGAGAGATCCCAGATGAAAGCTGCACACCTGCATCCACGAACCTGCATACATACTACGAGTATGACATATACTAACATACCTACACTATGGCAACGCATATGCACAAGCGTGCATGCCTAAGTAGGTACCTACATCGAAACAGGTAACACTTGTGACACGTTACGAGGGTTGATAAATGAGAAACTTACATGCTCATTGACTTTTGAACCCGTCATGACCGTCATGAGAGCAAGGAAGGTACACGCTCTCGCGGACTCAGTCATACGAGGTCTCTTCGTTCGTGTGTTCACTACAGTTCGGGTTGAGGTCAGCACAAGATTTGTTTTCCTCCTCACGGCGATCAACAAGCACGCAGTTCTGTGCCTAGAGTTGGCGCCATGCTGCCAAAGAGTTCTCTGATGACGCACACTGTTGGGGAGATACCATACATTGTCAAGCGGTTGATGCTCTGGAGGCATGCATCCCCCATGGCACGACCCAAAACCTTCAGGTCCAATTCGCTCCAGCGTAGGGTGTGCTAGACACACAGCTTAAAGGGTCTAGGAGAGGCAGCACTCACATGTGCACTGCGGATCTGGATGGTCACCCCTTCATTGCCGGGAAAGGAGAAGATCAAGGCGTACATGGCGTCATGTTTTGAATTGGCAACGCGGACCTGAGAGACGAAGTAGCTTGCAGAGGCCTGCGACAGGCGTTTGATGAAGGGATCCAAGGACTCGGCCTGTAAGACCAGGTTGTTAAGCATGAAGCTGTTGATGCAGTCTCTGTGGCTTCGCGCGAAGTCTTGCTGATACCGCTGGAAAGCTGGAATACCATGCAACGTACTGCGGTAGACAGGATCTTCCACGAAGTGGAGCTGCAAGGCTTTCCAGTCAAGAAACCCACTGTAAGGCAAGGTGACCCACTGAGCTGCAATGCAGTGTCGGTTTGGTGGCCACGGAAACGGCTCACTTGCAGGGGTAGCTCCCAGGATTCTGATGGCAAAGTCTCGAGCAGTAGAGGCGTTGGTCACAGCAAAAGTACTCTTCCACCACATGTCTCTCTTCATTCGGCTATCGTCTTTCCGGCAAGCATCTGGATCTGCCGTAGCCTCTGTATCCATGTACTCCAGAGGCAGCGTCATCAACGAGTCGACGCCTGCCAACCATTCCATGGTCCAGGTCGTGTTCGGGATGTAATCACGGATAACTCTCATCGTCTTAGAGTTGTTTGTTTGTTGCGGGACATAGTTCTGGAAACGATGCCTGTCTGCTTGAAAGTTATCGATCCTCATCGTGTCCACCAAGTGCCCGTCATGATAGTCTGTCCAGGGGGTATAGAGCTGCTTCTTATCCATCACCGTGGCCCAGGACATCTCCGCTGCTCGCACGAAATCATCCATGGTCAAGTTCTGCTCGCTCTTCCAACTCGGTGCCTTCAGAAAGTAAAGCTGCTCCACGTTACCTTCCGGAGAGGTGATCTGAACGCCTGCCGCTGCCTCGGCCTCTACCAGGCCCATGACCGGCAGGTCATACACATTCAGAGAGTGGGAAGTGCTATATCTCAGCCAATACCCAGCCGAGCTCATCGGATCCGTGGAGAAGAAGCTGCGCCCCACAAACCTGAGGCCACCCGAGCTTTCCACTCGGAGCTGAGACTGGAGGAGCATCACGTCGGCTCTCTCCTCGCAGAGGTCGCCGAGGTTCTGCCAAGGAAGGCAGAACAGCAGGGCCAGGCAAAGGCATAACGACATCTTGCGAACACAAGGAGGCCTGGTCCGTGGCTCTGTATGAAGCGGGCCTAAACCCAGATTGATCCCGGGGGGTTGTCGGGATCTGTCTGGCTCGTTTGCGTCAAACTTGCGCCAGAATGGCTGCAAGGAGAGCTTAAGGTCCGCATGTGCGATCGCAGAATTAGAACCTGGCTTCGCGGACTATCGGGATTAACAAGGAAGGTTTAACAGATCATATCAGAAATGCAAGTTATGCACGTGATAATGGCTACAAGACAGTTCGCAGCGCCGCACATCAAGGGGGTGACTGGTGCCTCGCGGGCTTTCAGCAAGCATATTCGACACTTGTCTTGCGGAAGCTGCGGATCCAGATTCAGGAATCACTGTCTTCGGCTTCGGAGTTCTTGAAAGCACCAGAAGCCACCGTCGCCTGGAATCTTGGATGTCACAAAGAACTCGTCCCGCTCCATCTTCATCTCAGCCAAGGCCTCTGCGGCTTGGGATGAAGCGATGAGGACTGCTACCGATGCTGCGAGGAAACCACGACGACATACTCACTTTCCGAAAGAAGGCGACAAGATGTCCCAAAGCCCCAGCACGACATTTGACGCCCAACTCGTTCGTTGATGGGCCACTTAAAATGCCAAGCCGCTGCCCCGACTCCTTTCTGATTCTGGTAGACTGACGCAGTGTCCACATGCCGGTATCCCAAGGAGAAGGCGGAGATCACAGTCTCCTGGCACAGCTCGCCCAAACTGAAGCTTCGAAGGAGTCTTCGTACTTGGGGCTACGTCTGGCTTACACGCTCTTATGCTCGGACTTTGGCAGATGAAGCGGAGGTTGATGGCTCGCATTCCTTCAACTTGGTACAAGGGAATGATACAATAGGTTTGCAGTATACGCGTCTACCTCTACTTATAACATCTTGTAACTCTACCCGAAGGGATGTATGATCCTCCAATAGCCACATTCTCGGGCTCTCAAGAATGCAGGCGTACACATGACCCACACAGACATGGACAACCTACTTGCAGGGTTGCAGCAGGCGCTTCTTCCCGGCGTCACCTGGGTTCTGTACATCAAGGAGCCGACAGATTGAGTATCGGAGGCCCTTTTGGACCCAACTGGTCGACAGGGGCATGAACAGAGCTGGACACAGATGGCTGCTTCTCTCGGCCAGGTGAACTGATGAACTTCAGACTTAACCCGTTGCTTGATTCTTAACGACGTGGAGACCGGCGAGCTGCATGCAGGACTGGGGGGGGGGCAGTGAAACTCCTGGGTGAATTTGCCGAACTCAGGGAAGAGCCCTCACACGCTTGTACAGGACATCGCACTGGCACATGTACTTGGTTCCGGATTGCACCCCGCCACCTTCGTGCAGCTCGTTGTGTGCAAACAGAACGCAGCGTCCTACGGCGGGATTGACCGTGGCTTGGGACTCGTATGTCTTGTCGCCCACATCATTCACGTGGATCTGGACAAAATTGAGTTTGCCACCTTCAAACTCTGCAGGGTCATTCAAATACAGGGCGATCGTAAAAAAGGACTTGTAGATTCCCGACTCACCATGTGCAGCTGCAGCGCTAGATCTGAGGGGATATTCTGCGTATGCACGTTCGGGATCCTTGTGGGGCTTGAAGCCCTGGTCTTTCTGATACCTCATGAACCGAAAGACTGGAACGATTCCGCATTTTTCGTAAACTCCACTGGTGAAGTTCCCGATGTGGCGGTGCTCGTCGGGAAGGAAATGCTCCAGCTTTTTCCAGAGGTAGTCTGCAAAGTCCACAGACTCAATTTGGACAAGCTCGGAAGTGTTCTTGGCTTGCTCGTAAGCGAGCTTCAACAGGACATTTTCTTCATCTTCTTCCTCCAGTTTGTTCTTTTCCGCTAGATGAACAAGGAGTGAAGGTGGACGAGCAAAGCCCACCTTCTCATGGATACTTATGAATGTCTCGCACATCTCCTTTCTAAGGACGCCATCCAGGACTGTCACTGGGAATTGGCTGGAGCTCGTTGGCAACAGAAAGCGTTCTTCCACCTTAACCTCCTCCGTGGCTTCTTGCTTAAAGTCGATGCCGTGACTCTCCCACCCATGGAGACTCTCCAGCCTCTTCTGACACTCCTCTGCAAAGGGGGCAATGGTTTCTGAATTCGCCAGTGCTCTCCCCCGCACCATGCTCTCATGATTCTGTGTCATTCGGTGTAGGAGCTCCGACTCCGAAAGCCTCGGAGGAGGGCTGCTCGGCTCCTCTGCGAAGGCCACGCTCCTGCGCTGCTTTGGAATCGTCGCCACAGCCACGGCCATCTTCCGATACAAAAGAACTATACAGCGCAGCTAATTACCGAGCTGCTAGGTTATGTTCTCCTTCGGGCCAGCCGCAAAGTCGAGTGCTTGAGCCGAACCGAAGGGCTCCCCAAAATCACAGGCCACAACAAAGGATCGACGACATGCATAGTTCTTTCTTTGCCTTTTTTTCTCCATCATAGGAACAGGAAGCCGCACCCCAGTGCCCAGATGTTGAGTTCATGGGCGAGGCAGTGGGGGCCTCGAGGCCTGGGCCTGGCGACTTGGCCGTGGAAACTCTGAAAGCTGTGGGCGCAGGGGCTTTGCGGGTGCGTTTTCTCTAGTCGCTTCGTCTCAGATTTTTGATCTCGTGCTCAGGGGCATGGGCTAGATGAGAGAAGAGCACAACAGACAAGTAAAAAGCCAGTATCAGTTCAGGTCGTCCGGTCCTTGGCGACGGTGCTGTTGTATTGCCAGGTGCCAATCCCCAGCAGGGGAAAATCCACGGTGCCGTGGATGCCCTTGATGGGCACCACTGGGATACCTGCATTAAGTTCCAAAAGCAACCAGTCCGGACATCCAGCCGCAAAATGGAATTATATAATTTCTCAGAATTATGAGCTTTGGCGCGTTGGCCAAACATGTCGGCACGACCTTCACGCAAGTAGCTAAACGCTGAACAAACGACTCATCAAACTGAGCGCAAAACTCCACAATTAAAACAAGTTGTTAAGTCCACCTAAACCTGGCCAGCTACGCACGCTTGCTCACATTCAGGGGTTTGTGCATCGTCAAGGAGTCCAAACAAAATCGTCCTGTCGGAGGTCTTGAAGCCTGCATAACCCGTCCTGTACAACAAGTTTGCGGAGAGGTCCCAGGTAACGGGAGACCCCATATGCTCCAATATTGGTTCGAACCAATAGAGATTGATTTTTTCAATAGCAGATTGAAAGAGGGGAAAAATCAATCGCAGAATAGGTTTTTTCAAGCGCGGCAAAATCAATCGCAGAGTGTGGTCAAAATCAATAGAAAAATCAATATTGGAATCAATAGAAAACAATAACTCTCTATATGTGATATCATGTTTATATCATCATCCAGACATGTTACAACACCACCAAAAGAATAGTGCTTCATAGTGCTATATAGGACTAGACAGGACATTTTTTGATGGCCTAGAAAGCAATAGAAATTTCCACGGGTAACATGAAAATCAATAGAAAATCAATATTGCAACCAATAGAAAAATCAAGCGTGAAATTGGGTTAAAACCAATAGAACCTCATTTCGCCGATATTGATTCTGAGCTCCAAAAGTCTGTTTTCAATAGAAGATTGAAAAGGCCTAAAAATCAATAGATCGATTGATTCTAACCAATATCGGAGCATATGGGACTCCTTGACAAAAATTATGACCGTGAATGCCTCCAGGAAGTGCGGCGCACAGCTGCCCAAGTGACAGGAGCGCCACGGCGAACATCATGTTTACCTGGGCTCTTTCTGCCATGTGGGTCCTGGTCTTCTTGATTATGCTATGCGCAGGAATATGGCACCTACACATGTATGTCTGGCACGAATGTATCCGCAGTGCATATTTGCGCGGGTTGCAGGCTTGTCCCCTTTCGGCCATCATTGAATGTGGATGTTGCGCAAGTGTGTCAGTTTTAACCCAGAGCGACTCAATTAAGGACCCTGTGGTAGCAAAGTCGCGGATAGCATGTGCCATGACACAACAAGAAAGATGAACGAGACAGCGCTTATGTACAACAACAAGATCCGATCTTCAACAGCGGTACTGTCCACTTGACAGGTGTCGAACAGAGGCGGCAACAACTAATCAATGCGCTAGGATTTCCCACATCCCAGGGACAGTAATAGCTCGGAGGACATCCAGCAGCCGATTTCCCAGCTTGAGCTGCAAAAGGCCATCCATCATCACATCAAGCAGGCCAAGACGAATAGTAACTGTCTGAAGATGCTTCGGATTGTTAGCCGCTGCATGTCCGGAAGCGAGATCACGGAACGTCACTGCTGTTTAGATGCTGTCCCGGATGACGCCAGATACTGAAGGGAGACCCAAGACCCAGAGCAAAAGAGAGGGCCAGATCCACAGAGCCAGACGTAGACGGAGAGGGGAAGAGCGAGAGAGAGAAGCACCGAGCACAATGCAAAGGGGGAAGGTAACAAGCAAGACGTGAAGAGTTTCTCATAAATTATCTTGCACAAGCTAAAGTTTTCCACTTCAACTTCCTCAACTCAATACAGCAACTCAAGGTTATAGTAAGCCGATTTGAAGGGTTCAGCAGATGACCACATCAGGCAGCCATCTCCCAGCCCAACATGGCCTCCACGATTCAACAAAAAGGACAGCTCTGCACTTGGTCCTTCTGGTGCATAGCCGGCGCTGCCCCACGAAGGCCGCCTTTCAACTTGGTCTTGGGGATCGAAATTCACAGCTTCTTGTGAGATCCGTAGATCCGAAAACAACATGTAACAGGCGCACGCAAAACTGCCGAAAGCTGATCAATTCCGACACACAAGTTAATGGAGCCCTAAGCTACGACTGGATATGACTGGTGCTGGTACCGCAACGGCTTTGGCTTGGTAGGGCGAGGGCGAAATGCGCAAGTCTCCAACTTCCACTGCCGGTCCCCCATCTCACTCGCTACCTGGAAAATATCAGCTTGAGTTCCACACGCCGCCTCATTGAAGCAAATCGGGTGATTGATACTGTTGATGATATAAATGCTGCATTACCTTAGGGACCCTAAACTATGGGAACTATGGTATGTTCCTTATTATGGCTAGTGCAGGATTTATACCATCAACGGTATGGTCGAGTCTGTAGATGCTCCACAGGCTTTTCTCGATCGGGGGGGACTCCAACACAGACCTTGTTTTATGTGGACAGTATAGGGTGATTATTGTCAGGACACATGCCTAAGGCAACCTAGCTTCGCGAACAACTCGAAGCAGGGAGTCTAGAAACAAGTGCAGCTCGGCCTTCCCTGCCTCGGATATGGCTCGCCTGCACTCAGATGTAGGCATCGGGCATTCTTCGAGACGAGATCAGGGCTCCCTGAGAGCTTCCAAAACGGCCTACACCTGCCACGACTCTGTGCCTTGGACTGAGCAGAAGCTGTGCGCATTTGCCAGGTTCACATGCGGGTAGTTCACTTAATTACGGGTGTGGCACCCTTGTATAAAGGACCCTAGTAGAAAGGCCCCTAATTTATATAGATGGAGGACTTAGGCCTTGGCTTCAAGATGCTTCAAGCCCAAAACGAGACTGACCCATGCCGTTCTGGCCCGCAGAGGAGGAGTCAGAACGGTTTACATAGGGTTTAGGGTTTCGACTCACACACTCGCAAAGCAGGCATGGCAGTTCCGATGACTGTCTGAGCATTTAGGGTTTCGACTCTCACGCTCGCACGCAGCAGGCAAGGCTCTGAGCATTTAGGGTTTAGGGTTCAGGCTTTAGGATCCCTACAGACGAACAAAGGGATGCCAACCCTTGCAAGTTTGATGAACCTGCTTTAAAGACAGTCTTCGGATAGACTGGTACACAAGCAGTGAATTCAAGCTCAAGCACAGTCACGCGAGTCGTCCCGGGCTTTGAGCTAGATCCCACAACTGTTCCCTCTCTGCTGCAGAAGGGCGTACAAATCTTGGTTCCAGGCCTATATCAATGGGTCCACCACCAAGACTTAACCAGAAGTCTCGGAAGCTGTTCGCGGTCGACCTCAGAAGCAAATGCAAAAGCAGCATATCGCAGAATTCGGTTTTGCCCGCATTGGTCTCGTGGTTGGTTACTGTGTGCTGTGTATTGTGTGGGCACGCCCAACGTGGATGTCCGGATTTAGCACTCGTGGTGCACGGTTAGGCAGATGGGGGAGAAAGTGCGCGGGTCAAACGGTAGCAAAAATCCAAGCCAAACACTTGGGCTCAAATAACATGCACCCAACACAAACTCACCAGCAATCTCAGGCTCCCACGAAACTGCCGGGTTTCCAGGACCTCCCGGGTGCAAAACTTCTTGCTTGGCTGGGCACAACCCTGTCCCGAAGGTGACTCCCCTGGTGCCTGGAGAGAATGGTCGCCCAACTCTGCACCGCGTCACATAGCACACCTAAGGCCTTCTGAAAAATAAGCCTTGGTGGGGCGCACTTCCGAAGACAGCAATGGACAACAACGACGATCTCGGCCCTGACACCCATTTTCACTTACAGTATACGTCGCGAGATGAACCCCAAAAAGGCTCGCGCTTGACTTCCCACATAATATAGACATAAATTTATAGTCGTAGGATAGTTTGAGGGACGCCTCGTCTTTACGGTGCCACATAGGTGCCACGAAAAGGTCGAAGGAAAAGCTCTCTGTAGACAGCTGCTTGGACCCATGTAACTCTGGCCGGCTGCCCTCATGTGCCTCAACAAAGGCAGGCAGTCTGCGGATGGTCAACAGATTCTCCAACAAAAGCCCGAGAGTTTGCCAATCCAGGGTTACAGGTCCAGTGGGCCCCACCCGGCAAAGTACTCCCATAGTTTACCCAAGCCGAAAAACAGTAATTCAGGATTGTCAAAGCGGCCTTCTGACAGCTGGTGGTAATCGCAGTACGGCGCCAGTGTTCCGTCTGCAGATATAGCTTCGGACATCTGCCTAAGACGTTGCACTTCTCAAGGTCTTTTTGCTTGTGCTAACTGCTGCTGCGACCATCGTTGCAAACTCAGTGTCATGTACCGATGCGAGTAGCAATTGAAGTTTCGAGGCTTGGCAGTGCCTTGCAAAACGTTGATATGGTTCTGTTGTTTCAACCAGTCCTATTGATTTGCCACATCTGCTACACATTGCTCCCTCCGGTCTCTTTGCTTTCTCCCTGTATGAGGAAGCCTGACCTCAAGACTGCAACGACTAAAACGACCAGCAAGTCACCAGCTACGACTACTCCAACCTGCCAGACGCCGTATCGTGAATTCGTCGCGATTGCACATCACACTTTGTTGCTGCTGTTGCTGTGGGGGA